TTAGAACCAGGGATTCTGGGTTAGAACCAGGGATTCTGGGATAGAACCAGGGATTCTGGGATAGAACCAGGGATTCTGGGTTAGAACCAGTGATTCTGGGATAGAACCAGTGATTCTGGGATAGAACCAGGGATTCTGGGTTAGAACCAGGGATTCTGGATTAGAACCAGAGATTCTGGGTTAGAACCAGGGATTCTGGATTAGAACCAGGGATTCTGGGTTAGGACCAGGGATTCTGGGATAGGACCAGGGATTCTGGGTTAGAACCAGGGATTCTGGGATAGAACCAGGGATTCTGGGTTAGAACCAGTGATTCTGGGATAGAACCAGGGATTCTGGGATAGAACCAGGGATTCTGGGATAGAACCAGTGATTCTGGGATAGCACCAGTCATTCCGGGTTAGAACCAGGGATTCTGGGATAGAACCAGGGATTCTGGGATAGAACCAGGGATTCTGGGTTAGAACCAGTGATTCTGGGATAGAACCAGGGATTCTGGGTTAGAACCAGTGATTCTGGGATAGAACCAGTGATTCTGGGATAGAACCAGGGATTCTGGGTTAGAACCAGGGATTCTGGATTAGAACCAGAGATTCTGGGTTAGAACCAGGGATTCTGGATTAGAACCAGGGATTCTGGGTTAGGACCAGGGATTCTGGGATAGGACCAGGGATTCTGGGTTAGAACCAGGGATTCTGGGATAGAACCAGGGATTCTGGGTTAGAACCAGTGATTCTGGGATAGAACCAGGGATTCTGGGATAGAACCAGGGATTCTGGGATAGAACCAGTGATTCTGGGATAGCACCAGTCATTCCGGGTTAGAACCAGGGATTCTGGATTAGAACCAGGGATTCTGGGATAGAACCAGGGATTCTGGGTTAGAACCAGTGATTCTGGGATAGAACCAGGGATTCTGGGTTAGAACCAGGGATTCTGGGATAGAACCAGTGATTCTGGGTTAGAACCAGTGATTCTGGGATAGAACCAGGGATTCTGGGTTAGAACCAGGGATTCTGGGTTAGAACCAGAGATTCTGGGTTAGAACCAGGGATTCTGGATTAGAACCAGGGATTCTGGGTTAGAACCAGGGATTCTGGGATAGGACCAGGGATTCTGGGATAGAACCAGGGATTCTGGGTTAGAACCAGTGATTCTGGGTTAGAACCAGTGATTCTGGGATAGAACCAGTGATTCTGGGATAGCACCAGTCATTCCGGGTTAGAACCAGTGCGTTAGAGCAAATGAAGAAACAGAATCCGGGAGATCTGATTTCAAACTTTATTAATGTTTCTAAAATGTTGTTACACACTTATCAGACTTCCTGTCAGCTGACCTACACTCCATTCACACCTGTCGCTCCACAGATACACCTGTTGAGGTTTTCGTCATCACGGCGACAGGGAAAAACCTGGATGACCTGAGCAATACGATTGGCCACAGTAGAGGAGCTGGCGGCGATGACTCTTCGGGACATCATGTCAAACTCTGAGCCTGAGGAGACACACGTACCAATGAAAAGAAATACACACAGGTGGAGATATGACATCACATGTCAGATACAGACCGTCCGTATCCATGACGACGCCTCCAGCTTCCTGGACGATAATGGCGGAGGCGGCAATGTCCCAGCAGTGCATCCCAATGTGATAGTAGGCATCAGCTCCACCTGTTGCCACCTGACACATGTCAACTGCCGCTGTCCCCAACGCACGGACACTAACCCCACACAAACAACACGTTATAGAGGTCACAGCATACAAACAACACGCAAACATGTCATACAGGTAACGTTCTCACCCGTGTACAGGTAGTTTCAGCAGTCTAAAGATGTTGGAGGTCATGATGGACAGAGCAAGGTCATCACGCTCTGCCCCAATCTCAGTCACCACCACACACCTGCTGACATCTGATTGGAGGAGACAGAATGGTAAATGGTAAATGGACCTGCATTTGTATAGGCCCTTTCTAGTCTTCTGACCACTCAAAGCACTTTTACACACACATTCACTCAGTAATGGAAAAGTGCATCAAACAGAAACTAACTCATGCACACACTGATGCATCGGGAGCAATTGGGGGTTCAGTATCTTACTCAAGGACACTTCGACATGTGGCGGGAGGAGCCAGGAATCGAACCAACAACCTTCCGATTAGTGGACGACCTGCTCTGCCTCAGAGCCACAGCCGCCCCAGAACAGTCAGAACTGGGGATGCTCGATATTGGCTTTTCTGCCGATATTCGATATTCCGATATTGTCTTCATGTCCAACTCTCAATTTCCGATATCAATATCTGCAGTCTTTTTACACCAAACTGTAACAACATAACATATCTCCTATAGTGGAATTAACACATTAGGCCTAATTTTATTGTGATGCCCCACTGGATGCATACATAAATGCAACATGGCTTTCCAAATGTAAACACTGTGCAAAATAAGAGAACGACTTCAACTTTCATTGTATCAATACTGAAAAGAGTACTAACGCTAAGCACTA